AGTAAGTAAGTAAGTAAGTTTGCTTACAAGAATTATCTGATGAAAGGACTGAAGTCTGGAACTTAACCAGTGTTGGAACGTGATATTTTCAGAAGTGTTAACCAAACCCCGAGGAAGGGAAAAGTTGTGAATGTTTTGACAATTGAGTATATGCATCGTACGAAATAGCTATGAAAGTTTAAGCTAAAGATTAATTAAGTTAAAGATAAAACGGGACGGAAATATAAACTAGCAAAAAAATGCTTAGCGACTGCTGGGCTTGCCTCTCTTTATTGTACCTTATACTTTTATCCCATGTGACGAATTTTCTGCAGAAAATACCTGTAACAGATTCACAGAAAGTAGAATACTTTCTACGTCTTGAAGAATTTTCTTTGCAATTCTCATTAACAATAACTTTGTGAGGATGTTAGTGAGCCTTTCCGGAGTCTGCGCGCTGAGTGGGCTCAGTACGGATCTTCTTCACAGTAGAGAGCGTAAAGAGTGTCCGCTCGATAGACGCACTGGCTACTGGAGCTGTTAATAACAAGGCAGATAAGTGTATGACTTCTGGTAATTTGGTACTCAAATTTTACGCAATAAAATAATTGAGGTCTGAAATATTAAAAGGTAAAAATTCTTCTGCCGGTCTCGGTAGCCGAGCGGTCTAAGGCATGCACTGTCTTCGCTCGCTCGGAAGCCGGGATCGTGGGTTCGAATCCCACTCAGGGCATGGATGTTTGTGTCTGTGTTTGTCTACAGGTAGAGGCCTTGCGACGAGCTGATCACTCGCCCAAGGAGTCCTACCGAATGTGTAAGATCTAGAAAAACCGAAGTGAACGGAAGTTCATGGAGGTAGGCCTAGGCCCACTGGGGCTGTAGTGCCAGGGGGGGATTCTTCTGACGGATAAATGAGGGAAAGTTCAGTTTTCAGATGAACAGAATTAAAATACCGTCCAAATTGTTTCAATTACGATTTATATGCAGTAGCCGGGACTTTTCAGATTAGTGTTTAAAGTTTCCAGATTCTATAAGTGAAGGAAACTTAGTTTGAGAATTTCAGAGAATAGAGTGGTCAGCTGTCCTTTCGTACTCTCGATCATCGTAAAGTACAGTCAGTCATAAGAAGCTCCTTGATCATTATTATTAGTTAACATTTGTTGTACCTTAGTCGAAAATTCTGAAAGTTCTATATCTCCCTATGAGCTACGCGGTAGCGTACTTGGTTGAGGCACTATGCTACAAGCCGGAAGGTCGCGGGTTCGATTCCTGTTGAGGTCATTTGATTTTTCAGTTTACCTAATCCTCCCAGCTGTACTATGATCCTGGGTCGATTCAGCCTCTAACAGGAATGAGTACCAAGAATATTCGTGGGGGTTAAATGGCGACCGGCGCGTAAGGCTGACAACCTCACCGCCAACTGTGAGCTGATTGTCTGGAAAATGTGGGAGCCTCGATGTCTCACATCCCTATGGACCTACGCAGCCTCTTACAGGGATACCTTTGCATGTCTAGCTTTTTTACATAAAGCTGCTAAATTGACTAACCTAACTAACTAACTAACTAAACTAACCCCCATCTCTTAGTGTCATAGTTCTAGAACAGGAGTGGGCTGATGCTTGACTTCAGAAGAAATAAACCCATCTTCCATATACGTCGAAATAAATAAAATATACGAGCCATACCGATGTCTATCTTCAGAGGTATAACGTAGTGCAGCCCGATGAAGGTCAACCAACGTTTCGGAGGAGAGTGAAATAGACAGTAAATAGATTCTGCTTGCTGCTCTCTTATTGTTGGTTTCTTCCTTCGCTTGTTCTTCGACCCAGAAAATGGAGATATATTGCTCCGAATCGTCAATTGACTTTCTCTTGACTATACGGCGTTATATCCAAGATGACAGAAACAGTCATAATCTCCGCTATGAGAGTGTCAAGTCCAGTATTAATGATGTACATGACAACATAAAAATAATATTTGTTAACGAAATTATACAGGCAACATATTCATAATGTCGCACGCTCAATTTCATAAGCTTAGTTGCAGAAATTGAGCAGGTCTTATAATCAGACAAAAAGTTTCTTTCGGTCCTCATCCTTCAGTTTTTAACTTTAGATGTAAAGCATGCGTTTTATGATTTCGCTACCATACACATTTTAAAGGACCTAAGATGAAAGGCCTCAATATTGCTGAAACACTGGCAGCTCCCGATGTTGATATGTTGAAGTAACTGAGAATTGGAATGTGGCAGTATTCGCTATTGTTTTAATCTGTAGTTTAAAGGAAATCGGACAGTTTAATCAGAAGTTATGTAAGGAAAATACAGACATGTATACCTTTTAACAACCTGTAGTGATAACTTGGTTTCTGTTATAGAAGTTAGTTATAAACGAGTTTCTGTTTTATATATAAATGTAGATATCTCGTAACATTAAATTCTGCCGCATATTATAAGAGTTAAATTAATGTTATCCTTTCAAATTATATGTAGATTCTTTAAAATAGACCATATATTTAATCTGATATGAACATAACTTTGTTTTTATTTCCATAGAGGTGGCATGTAATTAGCATAAAATTTAAAAGATATACATGAACACGGTAATGAACATTCGGGTCGCATAAAAGTTGAGATTTTCTGTATCACCTGAATCACTCTAACCTACCTGAGGACTCTCCTCCGTGAAGTTGATCGATTAATTTGAGATAGTGTTTTATAACTGAAACCAAATGATTTAATTGGAAATTGTTGGGTTATTTAATGATTCTGTTCCCACATAAGACGTTTCGTTGAAGGGTGGAATTCGGAAGGAGTCAGTCATGGCTTGTTTCAGCTCTACCTCGGTATTATCTTGGGGTTTCTGAAGAAGACAATGAAACTTGTCTCTGATAATGGCTTGTAGCCCGGTCGAGATTCGAACCGAATACAAATTTGAGGCGTTCCAGCTACGCCGATCTGTTCTAAGCTTGAGGTTAAGAAATAATTGGACTCATTATAACATGATACATTGTTGCACAACTTTAAAATTTAAAATTGTTTGTATTACTGAAACACACATCCGATGGATGAAGGTAGAAAGGTAAAGTTGTCCCTGTGCCCAACTGATTAAGCACTACACCATGAAGACGTATGGAGGAGTGGACGTATAGACCCACGTTTTCTTGACCTCGGCACCAGTTGGAGGTGAGTGATCCGACGGATACCTGGGGCTTAATCGCAAGGGGTAAAGCGGCCGGGGTGTAAAGCTGACATCTCACCTCCAACTGGTGCCGAGGTCAGGCATACATGAATCAATACAACCACTTCGCCATACGTCTTCATGGCGTAGTGCTAAATTAGTTAATAACAGAACAACTTTCCCTCGATGAAACACCAAGTAGTTATGCTTATTGTTGACTGAGCTATCGAAGCTGCCATACTATTTCCCACTCAAGCATAAGATGGGAGTGCCATAGCTGCTGAGTGTAAAGTCAGTGGCAATAAGACCAACGTCGTTATGTAGCTTAGGTAGAAATCTGTGTGCCGGGTGAAATTGGTAGAAATGGCTGCCGTCTTGGACGAAGTAGGAAAATCCGAAGAAAAGTTGATTGACGATGGAAATGTTGATGATATCGATGACATAGAATGTGAAGAAGGAGCAACAGAAGCTTCAAAGAAAAAGAAAAGGAAGAAGAAAAAAAAGAAGGCTGGTAAGACGTGAAATCATTTAAACCATACTTTGGTAAAACAATGTGTTCCAAGGTTGGAATTTTGGTAAATTTATGCTCTGCCGAAAGCTCAGAGACGAAGGTGATGTGTTAGTCTATTAAAATTGATGTTTAGTTCAAGCAATATGGATACATTTCGCGTTAAATATTGACCTAGAGAGATATGATTATGGATGTTTCTTCAGGTGCTGGCAAAGCATCAGCTGATGTACCAGGTGGGGGAGAAAGTGATGATGCTGCTGAAGAAACGAGGAAAAGAGTAGAAAATATAAAAATTAATGGAGAAGAGAATGATCTAGACGGTGAGCATGTTAATAGATTGCAATATATAAGTTACTTGTATGTGTGCTTAGTTAAGTGTATACCTCATTTCTTAGCACAGTTAGATATTCATACATATTTCCAGGAGCTGACCATGTTATAATTTAATATTATTTCTTTACGATTAATAACTTGAAAATTGTTTAGTGGTATGAAGAGTAGGCCACATTTACATACTTTTGCTTTGTTAATTGTCAGTTATTGCCCACTGCATGATTTCTCAATTCATTATTTTTGAGGGCAAATTATGTTTGCATGTTTGGCTACTTCAGTTCATAGCATTAATTAGTATGTTTCAATCAAATGAATGTGATTTTTTTGATTGGGTTCAGTTTTCCAACATGCTCTCTATTAGAGTGAGATGTAAATTTACATCTAAGTATATCTGGTTTATTTCTTGTCTTTTTAATACCCTGAAATGTTTTAGTCTCATGAGGTATACATGTTAAGAGGAAACTTTAAAATTCACACACACAAACACGAGGATTTAAAATCACAGTCATGAATTTCTACAACATGTTAAATGTTAAAATTCACAGATGTAAGGTAGTCATCGCATTCTGTTACTATGGTTGTGTTCTGTTGTTTTTGTTGTCTGCTACACATTTTTTCAGTGTGTCTGTAAATATGACATAGTGATGTGTGGGTTTTCTTTCTCAAAATTATTTTTATGTTATATAAGTACATTTCTTATTAACACTATAAGTTTATGAGATGTACTGAAAAGAAGAAACTTTTCTACCTAGTTGTGGTTCCTGGTGGTTGGAATGTTGGACTCTTTATGTACTGGTCTCTTTTGCATATGATCAGGCCAGCACAAATTGCACGTGACCCACTGGAGATGATGGACAAAATATTTTTTTGTGCCCTTACCCTTTTGTGCTTTGAACTCCTTTCCTCCATTTTCCTTTATTGGTATCCCTATTATTTGTCTGTCCTGTCATCGTTCATCTCCTACATCTTCCTTCCTCCCCCTCCTTCACAATTTCTATTTCGTTTTATCTCCCTTCTTCAGAATTCCCTTCCCATCCATTTTATTTGTCCATCCTGTTATCAATCCTCTCCTCATGTCTTAACAGTGACTAAAGATACTCAGGATTTTCCTCCATATCCAAGCAATGGGGCATTGGATTCTCCCTGAGTGTGAAAGGAACTGGCTGTTGTTATATGTAGATATTTCATATGTCCTATTGTTATTGAAAATTAGCATATTTCTCATTTGAGGGATTACTGGTTTTTATTCTGGCTCCAAGTTTTTGCAAGTGGCCACTAAATGTGTAGAAAATTTGTGCAGACCTGTATGTAGTATTTTAAATTGCTACATTTACATTTCAATGTTCCAGAGGGCAGTGAGGATGCTAAAAAAAAGAAAAAGAAGCGTAAAGCTCGAGGAAAAGGAAATCAGAAACCTCAGACAGATCCTCCCTCCATTCCTGTTGCAGAGCTTTTTCCAGATGGTAATTAATGTTTCTTTGTTAGTTAAGCCACATCTGATTGGTTTAAAGCATGATTTGAAAGACATTTCTCTATGTACTTCTCAAAGTAGTTTGTGAGAGAACAGTTGGAAAGCACATGAGGTATGCTTAAGAAGTGACATGTCATTTTCATAACAATGCTATGCCGAGTGTTAGATGAGCTGGTAGCATATGGCTGGTGTAAGTAGATTGCTGATGAAAATGGTAGGCAGTAGCACTCCTTACATTGTCACCATTTTTGATATGTTGTGATTGCTTCTTTCAGAGAAAACCCTCCAGTAGTCCTGTTTTTCAAATGAAGTGCAGTCCTAAATTAGCTAGAACCTCAGATACACAGTATGCGTGAGGTGATTCATCTTCAGGCACTTTTCACAAGTGGGGCTATCTACAACTACTGAGGGTCCTTCAAGGAAGACCTTTGCTTGTCCCTCTCTAGGTTTCATTCGTGTATTTTTGATGGTCTGTGTTCATCCATTTCCTGATGGCCATATTGCCATCTTATGAAATGCTGCTGCCAGTTGAGGACCCATAAATGGACATCAAGGCTGGTATAAGGAAGATTGTGTGCAGTAAATAAATAAATTTACCAAACTGCCTCTTTTGAAATTTACTCTGCCCAATATTACACGGATTAGTGATGTATGGGTTATGTAATTAAGGGCCTGTGCAGCAGATACTGTATTTACTTACATAATTCCCCCCCCTACCATTTGTACACAATTTATTTTTTGCTTTAACTAATAATGGGTTAGTATATGTAATAGTAGAAGAATGGAGTTGAGTGATAAGATTGTAAAATATTTACTGGTTTTTGTCTTTGCACAGATTCGTATACAAGAACAATATTATACTTTCTGGGGCGGGGGGGTACTATGCTACAAGCTGGAAGGTCATGGGTTCAAGTCCCAATGAGGTCATTGGATTTTTTCAGTTGACCTAATCCTTCCAGCCACACTGTGGCCCTGGGGTCGACTCAGCCTCTAACAGAAATGAGTACCAGGAATTAGATAATTTTCCTGGGGAGTAAAGCGTGGCTTGCACGTAGGGCTGACAACCTTACCGCCATCTTTGAGCCGATTGTCTAGATAATGTGGGACCCTCAACGTCTCAGAACTCTATGTGCCTTCTCGGGCTGTTACAGGGATAGCTTTACTTTTTACTTTTTTTTTTACTTTTACGTACTCAGTATATCAGAAGTTTTCAGTGCAAGCATTGTTTGTTACCCATCCCTTTCAAATCTAATATTATGTCTGTTCATATGCTTCATTTTTGGGCCACCTTTTATTTTTAATAAGCCATAATGAATCATATTACTAATTCTTGTCTTTAATAGTTCTTCAGTATGTTATGTACTTCTCTCTTAAAAAACCAGAAACCCAAATTGTCTGTATATTGTCATGATTTTAGAGTGGCTATAGACAGGGTTTGGATTGGTAATTGGATTTGTTGAACGCTTATACGTTGTGCGTTCAAGTTCTAAGGTCTCCGATTTTTTTTCTCACACAATAATCATACAAAGAATTTGAAACTTCTGTCACTTTTCAACGTAATCTCCCTGCAGCCATACACGTTTTTCACAACATCGACGCCATGATTCCATGGCTGCTATGAACGCTTCTGTAGTAGTCTGTTTTGACCACTGGAAAATCACGCTTTGTTTCAGGATTGAAAAATGGCGTTCATGTGTCATCCATTGTCACAATTGATGAAAACAAAGTCCCATTCATGCCTTCATCACGTGTCAACATCGCCTGGCAAATTGCCATGCCCAGCCTTGTGGTTGTCCACCAGCATTCTTGGCACCCACCTGGAGGACACTTTCTGCATTCACAGGTCTTCATGCAGGATTGTGTGCACAGATTCCACGGAAATGCCAACTTTGGAGGCGATGTTTTCCACACTCAATCGGCGATCCTCCAAAACAACTTTCTCATCTCGCTCGAACATGTTGTCAGACCAGCTGGTGCAAGGCCGAGATTGTTTTGGTTCGTTGTCACACGACGTTCGGCCTTCTTTGAACTGTAAACCCATGAACGCTCATTTTTCACATTCATGACACCATCACCACGTGTCTCACTCAGCTGGCGATGAATTTCAATGAGTTTTGCACCACGCAAGTGGATAAAATGAATGATTACTCACTGTTCTTGTAACGAAAACGTCGCAATTTAAGTATCAAAAACACTACTCACTCTCGCTGCCACCACTAGAGTTCTGTGTGTCGTACAGTGCCGCCATCTCTGTCACGTATTCACAAAGAGCGCACGCGTATTTTAAGCTAAACCGCATGTATATCTGCTCCCAGTCCTGAGAAAAAAAATCAGAGACCTTAGAACTTGAATGCCTAGCATAGGGTCTACATGCCACAACATGTTGACCTGCCAAATATTGATTTTTGTCTGTGCATTTATGTTAATGTGATGGGATTAAAGGGCATTTCAGTATCATTATGGTAGTGGTTTGATTGTGACTGGATATAATATTTTGTTACCATAGGTGTGTTTCCTGTGGGGCAAGAAATGGAATATCCTTTGGTTAATGATTCTCGTACTGCTATAAACCGATTTACAAATGAAGAGAAACGTGCACTCGATCGACTTCATAATGATATTTATAATGAAGTACGTCATGCTGCTGAAGCTCATAGACAGGTATGTTTTGGTGCCTACCTGGAAGGGAAATCAAAACTGAATGAAATTTGGTGCCAGCTTTGCAACACTAAGTATTTCAGAATAAGAACATCATGTAATTATTTGGTTTATCTGCAGATGTTTCAGATGTTGTAGAAGTTGGACAATTTGATTTTACGTATATGATGAGCTGCTCATTATAAAATATGTTACGTTTTTTTTCCTGGCAGTAATTTGGAAGATATCAGAGTTGTGCTGTAACACAAATTTTTTCCATTCTTACTAAATAAAAATAAGTGAAAAGCTACATTTGAGGTAGAACATGAGTTTGTATGAATTAAAATGTTGCAATACAATGTTAATGTTTTGGGGTCAGATTAGGAAAAGTATGTCTGAAGTTAGGAAGTTCTTGTGTATGAGAGGATTCTTGGAGAGAGGTTCAACTGCATAGGGAGTACAGCAGCACTGAGTAAGTTTTATAAACTTGTAGTGGCTTGAATTTTGCTTTGTGGAAGTTGCGCTAATTGAAATTACTGGGATTTTGGACTTTGTCCATCATCCATTATTCTGCATTTACTGCATGTTTAGTGATGATGTTTTGTTGTTTCTCACATTGACTTTAAACAAAGTTAATTTCTTGAGCATGGCAAGTGATGAAGATTTATAGTACATGTCTCATGGAGGTAATTTTTTAAAGACCCGGCAGCACATCCAGAAGTGGGTTAAGCCAGGAATGACGATGATTGGAATATGTGAAGAGCTCGAGTCTGTAGCTCGCAAGTTGATTCAGGAAGATGGGCTGAAAGCTGGCTTGGCCTTCCCAACAGGCTGCTCCCGGAATCACTGTGCCGCTCATTACACCCCAAATGCAGGTGATACAACTGTTCTGCAGTATGATGATGTTACCAAGATTGACTTTGGAACTCATATTAATGGTGAGTTATAATTTTTAGTGTTACATACCTAATTTTCATGTCTAGTAAATAAGGAAATCAAATTACCTAAATGGTTTTCTGGTTAATTATTGTTTCCATTTTGGTGTGGCGACACTGCATTTCAGTAAGCTGGTTTGGTGATGTTTTGGAGAACCTCCTGGATGTTCCTTGTTGAAAGTAATTTAGTGATGACATGATGTTGTGGTTGGCACACCAGCCCATCACAATATTATGTCATCCTACCAAGAATGTAATTAGCCAGAACAGCTTTGAAATACAGAATGTTATCATGTTTTTACTGTAACCCCCATACCAATTCTAAGTTACGAAGTTGGTATCTGGACTTCAGAGTTAATTCCTCTCATGCCTTTAGGGATTGCAGTTTATGTTAGTCCATTAAATTTCAGACTAAATTTTACTTTTCTCACTTCTGTATATCAAGTGAACATCTGTTTCATATCTTTATATCATAATTTTGCCCTGCATTTTGGTGATGAGACAGCAACAGATATTTAGTTTTCTATGTGTTTACTTCTAGACCAACCTCCTTACTTGCATCAGTTAAAGTTTGTGTTGTTTTCTTTATGGTATCTATATTATCATCCAGTAGATTCGCGTCATCGGCATGAATGAATGTACAATGGGTGGGCCCTCTTGGCCCTTACACCACAACCACAGTGATCTCTTGTGCTTCCCCTTTTGATTATCCCCTTCAGCAATCCTGCGCTTTTGAATGAAGTGCAGGATTTTGTATGTGGGGACGTCAAAATAGTCTCTTGGTTCCATAAAATATTGACCCAAGTGATGTAATCTTAAATAAGTTAAGGCCTCACGTTCACAGAGGATGATGAAAAGAGCAGCGATAAAGCATCTTCTTCTCTTAGACCATTCTGGATAGGAAATTTATCAGACAAATGTTTACCTATACAGACATTACTATAAGTTTCATTTAAACACATTTTGATCAGCTTAACTAGTTTCATGGGGGTATCCTGATGAATGCAGAAGATCTGATCTGTAGTTGATCTGTTTCGTTGAACCCACACTGACGATCCCCAATAATTTCATCTATGTATGGACTTAACCTTGAGAGAAGAATATTGGTTAAAATTTTGTATGAAGTTGATAGCAGTGATATCCCCTGATAATTACTACAGTCAGTTTTATCACCCTTCTTGTGAACTGGTACAATAATAGATTCCTTCCACTGATCAGGCAATTTTTCCTTATGCCAAATAGAACTAATTAGCTCATGGATTTTAGAACTTAATATTTCACCCCCTACACGTGAACCCATAGCTATTTTTATGCCCTAGCATGGTGTTGGGGAACCATTTGAGAGGGTGTCCTAGATGTAGCATGGACCTCCCCTCAAGGCATAGATGATGGTAAAAGATCTGGACTAACAGGTGTCTTACTAGGAGGCTGCTTGGGTCAAGTAAACTTAAGGAGGGGCAGTGTGACAGGATGTTTGAAGTCAGTGTGCTTTGGAAGGTTGAGACATCAGAAATGTCATGGGATGCCATTACTGGACAACACAGTGTCACTTGCCATACTTGCTTACTCAGTCTGCTGCAAGAAGGTACGAAGGAAGCAAGAAGCAAGAGGGTTCCAGTGCCCCAGGAAATGATCAATTGTAAATAGATGTAAACATGAGGTAGTAGTGAAGAAAGCCGTCTTCTGGGTTTAGGTGCCGTGTATTCTTCGTTTTGGCTACTGCACAGCTACTGCACTTCCTGTCACTACAGCTACTGCTCTCTGCATTCCAAGCCATTCAACTGCTCTGAAGATGGAGGCGACACGATCCTCCGAAACGTCGGCCAAAACGAAGAATACGAAGAAATTTTATTTCTTTGAAAAATTAAATTAATGGCCATGGGGCTTTGTTGCACTGACCACGCGACACCCTCTATCTGTTAAAGTTGGCACTAACTTCACCGGCAAGTGGCAGTTGTTCGGTCGGTATAGTTCGCTTGCAGACAAAAGCCATGGAGTTTGTTTTGTAAAATTATAACACAACAAATCCCTAGTCAGAATAACCATTACTAGCTGGGTTTCAGACCTTGCATCTTCAGAATACAAGATAGGTTATCTAAGACGAAGCTTTACTGACTTATAGTCATGTTAATTATAAGGATTTAATTTGTAATTCATTTTCTTTCAGGTAGAATTATTGATTGTGCATTCACTTTAGCGTTTGACCATAAGTATGACAAGCTGATCGAAGCTGTACGTGATGCTACCAATACTGGAATTAAGGTAAGTTTTGGATAAGCTAGAAATTAATTCTTTGTTATAGTAGATTTGTTCTTACGCTTTTGATTGCTGTTAACTTGAGCAATAATTTCAACTGCAGAAGTATGTTTTTATGTACCAACATGCGCATTATCAATATAACACACACACACACACATCAATATATCTTCATCCTTATTTCTTTCATTGTCCAGTACCGATTTTTCCTAAGCCATTAGTCCTTTGTTTCCTTCCCCTCTTCCAGTAAATTTTCATAATTAACTACTAATCTAATATAAAGTAGCTTTGCAAGAATTCCTTCTGATTATAGTTAGTAAGCAGTGTGGCACATCATGGTGTACTTCAGAGCAATGTATATTTCTGTATGTCACCCGTGTGAAATATGGATGTATGCTAGAAAATGTCAGCAAAAATTTCAACATAAATTTTGTGATGAAAGAGTTTCCAGCAGACAAATAATTCACAATTTGGTGAGTAAATTTAGAAAAATGGGTCTCTTAGTAGACAAGAAACAAAAACATAAGCGCCAAATGCTTCATGAGGAGAAGTTATATGACATAGGGGCCAGACTTGAACATACACACATAGAAAATCACTTAATGTGTAGCTCAAGAGACTGAAGTGTCAAAGTGTAGTGCAAGAATGGCAACACAATTTCTGATGCTTTTTCCCTATGAAACAACATTAATCCATACCTTGCATCTCTGCGATCCAGCTAGCAGGGTTCATTTTTGCAGTTGGTTTTTACAGTCTCTCATTGAAGATGAGATTGATCTGCAGTTGACATGCTTTTCTGATGAAGCATGGTTTCACTTGCAGGGATACATAAATATGCAAAATAATCACTGTTGGTGTTCATAGAATCCACATATAACCCACGAAGGGTGTCCGGTGTGGTAAGTGTAAGAAGGATTGTGGGACCTGTGTTTTTTAAAGAAATAATTAATTGCGAATGATATCTATGTATAGAGGAACAGCATTTTCAACACCTCCTGTGATATGTGAACTGTAACTACTTTATTCTGAATGTTATCAATTATCAGACATGCTGATTTGTCAGCAGAATTTGTATGCGCCTCAGCCAGTAGTACACCGGTCACCATGTAGCGCTCAGAGCCTTCAACCGGTCCACAAAGTACAAATCCATCCTGTATACTTGGTATGATGTACCATTACATACTCTGATTTAAGTTCTGTGTAACAACTAGGTGTAATGAAATGGAGAAATGGAACTTCTACCATTGTGGGAGTTGGAATATTCTTGTCTTAATGGCAGCACGGTGCAAGATGGATAGCATAATACCAGCCATCTATCCTGTTTTTCTCCATTGCATGTGCTCAAGTGGCAGGTTTGAGTTTTCACAAGATGGCACCAAGTAGTTTGAAGCATCAGGGCGTTTTTTGAACTTTTATAGAACATAAACTTGGCAGTATGATGCACATATGACATTATGGTATTATCCATTGCTAGGCAATGACCATAATATAAGTGATTATACAGCAACCATGGCTAGGTAATGGCTTCGCAAACAAGCATGTTTCCATGTCATTAAGAGAATACCTCAATAATGGAAGAGATGTTTTCTGTGTGGTCTGTGCCAAGATGTCTTAAGCAGGACCATTTAGCTGTTGCAGTTAGTTAGAGAACTGGTGCAGTTCAGTTATGGTGAGCTGTGAGTGTTAGAAGCTGGTAGCTGAGGCTACAACAGTGAAGATGTGATGGTGAACACGTGTGTGTGTGTGTGTGCGTGTGCGTGCGCGTGCGTGCATCACTCAAGCTTCTCTATAGTTACACTGCATAAAATCATGTGGCAATGTAATATATATTAGTGTTCAATAGAATCATTATAAAACCATCTTAAATACTGAATATTTTGCATTGTAAAGAATAAGGGTTACATGGCTGAAAAAGTCTACCCAGGGCAGGTGACACCATGGCTGATAAATCAGCTCAGACAAATGGTTAAAGGTACCTCAATATTTGTCAAGCATTCATTATATTATACTGAATTTCATTGTATGTATTCATAGTGGTACAAGTAGGTTTTCACTGTAGCATTGCAGGATGTCATATCAGCGATAAAAATGGAAGGTCATAGCAGGTTATATGATGCAACATAATCATAAATCACGAGAAGGATCTCATAATTTCCTCATAGTATTTATTACATAAAATATATTTTACTTACCTGAATATAAGACAAAAGTTTTTTATACTTGGGTGAGGAAACAAGGGTTGCTTTACATTCACATACCTAGAAACTACCATGCTGGAGTCATGTTTTTATGCCCATATTATGTGCAAGTAATTTTTTTGGAATTGGTAATGCAGCTGTTTTATTGAATTCTCACCTCTCATTTCAAGGTCAAGGAAGTTGCTTACATTTTGATAGACTGCAGTGCAGTAGTTAGAACCATGTTATAGTTGAAGCTTAATGCATTTACATATTATATGCTTATTCATATTGTGTGTGAAAGTAAAAATGTAGAATGCTTTAATATAAATTTAATTTGTTTTAAAAACAATACAGCGCTCCACGAACAACCACAGGACGACATCAAAGAACCTTATTCTCAAAAATGGCAGGCGGCACACATTCAGCCCCCATCAAGAGAAGTAATAAGAAAGAGGACACAAACCTATTTTGTTTATAAATTCTAACTTAACTGACAAAAATAAAACATTTTAATATAGTAAGACAGCCACTGTAATTGTAAAAACTTTGGATTTTGTATCCATTTGTGTATTGTCAACACTGTATGTATATTTTAATGATCAGAACATCTACTGTAATAGTAGTGTCCAAACTGTATTGATGTCCCTCTGATGATGGTCTCTAAGGACCGAAACATGTAAGGGCATGAAGAACCGAAATAAGAAAAATCTTCACCAGTCACACTGGACGGAACTATTTTATCTTTTTATCATGCTGTAATGTAAATTATGAGCAGCATAACAGAGGATCTGTAGTGTTACAGATACTGAAAGGGGTATGCTCAGAAATTTTCTCCTTGGATGCTGCTATGTGATTATTTGATGAATATTTAGATGAAAATATTCATTGATGAAATTTCAGTTTTTGCATAAAATGCAATTAAAGTTGCAATGTGGCAGTGTAGTATGGAGAAATTTAAGCACATATTCTATGAAATTCATGCCTTAATCAAAATGTTATCAAGGGATATTTTTGTCTCAGTGTTAATCAGGGAATTCTGGTGGCGTTTTTAGGCATGAAATCCACATGCAAATCCATTTAACCATTTCTGACCTAGGGACCAACCCGAAAACGCTTTTGTCTTGCTTATCATTTGGCTAGTCACCCAATTAATTTTACTAAAAGCTAAAAAAGAAGAAAAATAATAATATTCAGCACATACTGGAAGGAAAGTAAAAATAAAACAAGGAGTTCTAGGTAGAAGTAAAAAATCCTGCTTTCCTGTTGCATAGACCTTCTGATATACACAGCTTATGCTACTAATATCATAACAAGATAAAATTCTGATCAAGTGAAATTTTTATTACTTGCAATTGTAAGTATGTTATGTATTATCATTGATGTTATTGTCTTTACTATCTTTTCTTCTATATAAAATTTGATGGACCCATCCTAAAAGTTTTTAACAGTTTTCATATGTGTAATTTGTTTAGTCATAGAAATAATAGTTATTGTTTTTATAGGTTAATATTGTATTATAAAAGAAACATTTCATGCCTCATAATATGTAGATGTCTTTAGGATCTGTTGTGGCACCAGATATCACATGTGTAACTCCCATTTTCTTCATTATCACCATCAAGCCAAAAGCTAAATATAGATTTAATATCAGCAGTTTTTTGTTTGACATTCTGCAAAAAAAAGTACCACCACAAAAGTTGCATTTTTTATGATCTATTATCATACAGTAATAGAGTAATTTGTAGGGTCAGGAATTTTCTCTTCTCCACATCATCCAGACTGGCTCTGGGGTCCACCCTACCTCCTATCCAGCGAGTATCAGGGGCTCTTTCCCCAGGGGTAAAACGGCCGGGGCGTGAAGCTGACCACTTACCTCCATCTAGTGCCAAGATCAAGAAAATGTGGATCTATACATCCACTCACCCATACACCTTCATGGTTTAGTGCCTAATTAGTTAAGCGCAGGGACAACTTTAACTTTTTAATAGAATAATTTGTTCAATGGCCTTCCATGTTTTTTTTTTCCTTTAAGGAAGAAGCAGGAACTAGGAAGTGATTAGTTTTCAGTTGTGTAAAATTTCGTACTAACAGATTTGTGTACCACAAACAGAGAAACGCAGACATGGAAAATATGAAGATGTGTAGGCACTGCTTCATCCACCGTGGGGTTATTTACCCACAGTCTACACCACAAACCATCCTTGCAGTACTTCTGTTTGTCACCTGCTTTGCGTGTTTTCAGGGTTGTTGTCAGTTGTATTTTTCTTTTTTCCACAGGCTGCTGGTATTGATGTTCAGCTTTGTGACATAGGTGCAGCAATCCAAGAAGTAATGGAGTCATATGAGGTGGAGCTGGATGGTAAGGTATATCAAGTCAAGTCCATTAGGAACCTGAATGGCCACTCCATCTCTCCTTACCGTAAGTATTTCAATGCAAAAATGATAGATAGTAAGGTTGAGTGTTACAGTGAGAAAGAATAGCCTTAATTAGAAAGTAGGCATGTAGAGGTGTTGGCAGAATTATTGTCTTACCTTTTCAGATCCCATATTGGCCTTGATGTTCATTTATTGGTGTACAGATATTACAGTGCACATAAGCTATATGAAAAAATATTTGTATTAAAACATTATAGTACAGTGACACAACTTTTATTAAGAAACAACCTAGACCGAGCATAGAATTGTGTGAAATCAAAATTTACGAGGGAATTGGAAACAGTTGTCAGCTGTGGCAAAAATAATGTACAAAGTGTAGCAGAGGAACCTGACAATTTTTAAAATGCATTATGTTGGTATCTCCTGAGGATGAAATGGTGGGAACCATGTCATTTGCTAGCTTAACTGATGCTGTTGCAGTAGCCATGAAACACTGGAGCACACAACATTATATATTTATTGTTGAAATGTTTTTTAAAAAATGATGGCTCAGTTGTGAATTCAGTGAATATTTTGCAACCATTTCAGTGTTGCTTGTCTTGGAAGACTTCCTTGCCATGATACCATACAGTTATGGGTAGAGAACTTCAGAACAAGTGCTTCTGCATTAAAGAAGAAACCACCAGGCAGTGGGTGTACAGTGGGATCGCTACAGAACATTGAGGCTGTGAGGCAGTCATTCATAAGGAGCCATAGGCATTCAGCCAGGAGATATTCTTTTGCTTTAGGAATATCCAATCACTGTGAAGGAGAATTGCCATCTGTACAAAATGATGGTGATGCAAGAATTAAGCAATCATGGCATGGCAAACCATAGCACCGTAGCTGAGCTTTTAATCAAAAATTTGTCTGATGATGTCATTCTTATGACAGATGAAGCACACAAAATTTTTGCTGTTGGGCAGAAGAAAATCCACGGCAACTCCATCAACGGCCTCTTCACGGTGCACATGTGACTGTTTGGGGCGGAGTTTCAAATTTCTGTGTCATAGGTCCTCATTTTTTTGAAGACGAAGATGGGCGTGCAGTTACAGTGACATCTGCCTGTTATGTTGAAGTTTTAAATGAACTTCCTTAAACCAGAATTGAGTCATCGTGGAATTGAGCTCATCATCATATGGTTCCAGCAAGATGGTGCAACTACCCATGCAGAAAGAGCATCCATGGAGGTCATTCGGGAAATGTTTCTAGAGCACATTATTTTGCTGTACAGTGAGCTTCCATGGCCTGCAAGTTTACCTGATCACTCTGCCTGTGATTATTCCTTTTGGGGGTACCTCAAAGCGAAACTGTACACCACTAGCCCACAGGCCATTGATGACCTCAAGATCGCAATTCAGAAGCAGATTTCAGTGATACCAGAAAACATGGTGAGTTGTGCACTGGAAGAGTGTGTACACAATGATGTACAACAGTGGTTCCCAAACTTTTTACCTCTGAGCCCCCCCTGACAAGAGAAAATACTCTCAAGCCCCCAGCCTGTTTTTTTTTACCAAAATAGAAGTCATGGTATGTTCGACGTTTTATTCAGTTTATTTTCTGTTTTTCTACATACTATTTAGCAGTTTTCTTACTCAGAATTAAAGTATCACAATACTAGGCCTACAATTAAAATTAGTTTTAACACTTGCAATTAACCAAAATATGTACTGAAATCTAATGATATTTAACTAACAGGTATTTAATTTAAACATTTAAATGTCAAAGTTCAGTGTGATGGATGGGCCTGCTTTTGAGAACAAAATTTATCAAAGGGTGGTGTAATATCAGAAATGGCCACTTTAACTTATTTAGCAATATTTAGCCTTGAACGATACTTTGACTTTGTAGCTGCCAAAGCAGAAAAGCCTGTCTCGCATGAGAAAGTTGTTGTGAAAGGAATCAGGATTTTCAATGCTTTTTGGCTCAAAGTTTGGAATTCTGTGCCAATATGTATCCAGAACTCCAACAAAGACAGTTCCTTAAAGTTACTTTTTAATGAAGTATCTCTAGTGAGATCGATGAGTTGTTCTTGTTCATTTACATTCAGAGATGATGGCCCAGGAGCATTTTCGAATGGATTTTTAATCCAATTAAATTCATTAAAATCACTGCAAAAGTATTTTTCGAAATGAACTTTCAACATTATGAGATGATCAAGTAGGCAGCTTTTTATGTCCATTGGAAGCACTGGATTATCAGTGTCTTGTACCATTGACACTAGAGTAGGGAACATGTCTAGCGTGTCACTTTCCATACTGTTTCTCCAGAGCTCTAATTTTCTCATGAATGCCTTCACTTTGTCATTCCAAGAAAGTACAGTTGCCTCATTCCCTTGAAGTGAAGTGCTAAGGATATTTAGTTTCTCACATATATCTGTGAGGTAAGCCATTTTCAATAACAAACCCTTGTTGCTGAAACTGTCTGCCAGTGAGTGATTTTCCCCATTTAAAAAACAGAACACCTCATGCTTCAGCTTAAACATTCTCTTTAATACCTTGCCTCTTGTAAGCCATCGAGCATCACTAAAAACAACAGAGCAGTGTGTTCGGCACCCATTTCCTTACACAGCATTTTAAAAAGTCTAGACTTAAGAGAATTTCAGAGGATGCAGCTGCTGCCGAACTATCAACGCTATCTCTGGCATACACGTTTTATAATTGCCGGTAAAGAGAATAATTATTAGTTATTTTGAAATTCATGATAATTAAAGCCTGTACTCATCAAAAGTTTTTCTATATGTATTTTTATTTTTTGTTACTTTTCTAATTGATTTAGGACAGTTTTAATTTATATCTAGGAAAGTATGCTGGGCCCCCCTTTCAAGCCTCCCCCCCTGGGGGTCGCGCCCCACAGTTTGATAACCACTGATGTACAACATCTCAGCGATCTGCTCCTAAAAAAAATAAGCAGAGACGTAATGAAAGGTGTGTGGAATAAAATTGCATTGAATGTTCTTTTATTTTATAACAATAAATTAAAAATTAAAATAAAATCGTCAGGTTCCTTTGCTGTACCCTGTAATAATAATGTAATATACTGTAAAATTCATTGAAGTTATATAAATTATAATAATTTTAATGACATCAATTCTGAAGATTTGCCTAGGTATGTACAGATTATATAATAATTTTAATGACATCAATTCTGAAGATTTGCCTAGGTATGTACAGATTATATAATAATTTTAATGACATCAATTCTGAAGATTTGCCTAGGTATGAACAGATCACTTTTTCTTCATACCATATGTATAAATGAGCATTTGTTACTAATGAAAACAGACATGAGAAAAGGTTTCTTTGATTACTGAAACATGGTAAATTAATTATAATCATTATTTGTGAGAAATATATTTATATATTAATCTGTTCCTTCCTCGTTTCACATGTGCATTAAATTTAGCTCTGATCTAATAAAGAGAAAAAATTACCTTAAATGTTCAGTATGGTACTAAGTTTTTCTTTTGCTTCAAACTTATGTTAATGGGATGAAATGTGAACTAATCTTCCTATTACATTTTACTTTATCTTTGTTTTTTAGGTGGGAATTGTGTCAAGTAATCCCAAACATTTTGTGATATGATAGGTCCTTTCACCTTTTCGCGAGAACCTGCCACTGGTCCCTATCCTTAGGCATATAAATCCAATCCAATTCCTCTCTTTCTGTTGTTTTTAAGTTTTTAAGGTCCATTTTAGTAAATTTATAATGTAATAGTGAAAGTGATGGCTGTTTTTCTGTGCTAGGTATCCATGCTGGGAAGACTGTGCCAATAGTGAAAGTGATGGCTGTTTTTCTGTGCTAGGTATCCATGCTGGGAAGACTGTGCCAATCGTGAAAGGTGGGGAAGCAACAGTCATGGAGGAAAATGAATTTTATGCTATTGAAACATTTGGCTCTACGGGACGTGGCCAGGTTCATGATGATATGGAGGTGTCACATTATATGAAGAACTTCGAAGTTGGATACGTGCCATTAAGGTGAGATAAATACAAAAAAAAAAAATGTGCGCAGGATACTCATTACTCAATACTGTGAGACATTAAGCCACTTTTCATATTTAGAATAGTTCTTGTCATTATGGTTGCCCCTGAACTTCGTTCCTGACTTGAACACAAGCATATCACTGGGAATGAAACCTTCACCACCAGTGTGTGAAACAGTCACTTTGCGTCCCTTGGAAGTTGGTGTCTTGAGCCTCATCTCCTGGCTGTTGGCTGTTCTCTACCAGGCCCCTGTTCATCCACTTTTGACAGGCTTCAGCCATTATCCAGAGCTGATCACAGTATGCTTGACACAGTGGTTTTGCAAATGACCAGTAATACAAACAGGTTACTATGTGTGTGCAGACATGCAGTTAGACTGAGCTGCAAGTGCATACCCAGGCCAGTTTCAACACTTGCCTCTCATACGTAGCTGTAAGTGTATGTGTCTCTCCCTCACTGTGTTGGAAACTGTTGCTTTCTCCTGGATTACAGTGCTACTCCTAATTTTAATTACATTAACATATAAAAGTGGATATCAACTTCGGCCATTCCACATTATCCCACATTCTTATTGGTTGATTGATTGCTTTGTATTACTTTTGTTAGATTCATCATTACAAGGACTTGTATATGTTTTACAACTGAATTGTAGGAACCTTTTGCTTTGAATGCCAAAAGACTTGTCACCTAGCTAAGAATTATTACACCTGGATAGCATTTCTGGTGACTGCCATTTTTGATGTGAGGTGTTGCATAGATGGTATCTCACTTGAGATACCTTATCGCCAGCTATCTTTTGAGTAAGAATCCTATACCATTAGGTTATGTGGTGGTTATGTTATCTTATTTTGCTTGAGTATATCTGTCTGGGGTATGTCAAGATGGGCATCAGATGCCTCAAACAGACCTGCTGTCTTTATACTAAAACTCTTGTAAGTACTTTTCTTTGTGTCTGGCTGTACTGAATTCAGGTTGTGCAGGTGTGGACAGGCATTCCAGAGTTCAGTCAATCCACGCTTAACATAGAGTATTTATAGCAAGTTATAATGTTTTCTGTTCTGGACAGGGATTGGGCTTGAATGAAATCTCTTACACTGGATGATCCTGCTTGGTTAGTTAGAAATTTTATTTCAACACAAACACTAACAGTGATATACTTGAATTTCTGGATTATGGATGTTCAGATGTTTACTATTATTCATGTGCTAAGAAGAACACAACATTTAAGATTGAGGTGTGTGGTGTATTCTGAAGCATTCTTCGCTTCAGAGTCCACTCCACAATATGAGCACCAAAATATTCTCTTTTTCTTTACCCTTATTTATAACAAACAGTGCCTCTCTCCTGTGGCATGGTTTTCTTCTCCATTAAAAAAAAAATTAAGGACGTAGTTGGTTGAGGCACTATGCTACAAGCCAGAAGGTTGCGGGTTCAAGTCCCGATGAGGTCATTGGATTGTTTTTCAGTTGACCTAATCCTTCTAGCTGCGCTGTGGCCCTGGGGTTAACTCAACCTCTAACAGAAATGAGTACCAGGAATATTCTTGGAATATTCTTGGCGGTAAAGGGCGGTTGGCATGTAAGGCTGATAACCTTGCCGCCATCTATGACCCAATTGTCTAGAAAATGTGGTAACCTCAACATCTCACAACACTATGGTCCTCCACGGCCTGTCACAGAGATACCTTTACTTACTTTACTTTATTCCAAAAAATGTATTCCTGCTAGGCATGGTACTGTGTTGTCAGACAGGCCTTCCACGTACTTGTGTGTCAACTCAAATTCCATATTCTTCTATAAGTGCTTTCACCAACTGTAGACCAATAGTCTAGTCTTGGATCCTGGCATGGTCTGTCATGGAAATCAGTATATAGATACTCAGTCATCGACCGCCTCTGTGGTCTAGTGGTCAGAGTTTCTGGCTACAGATCCAAAGGTCCCATGCTTGATTCCTGGTGCTATCAGATTTTTTGAGAAGTAGTGGGTCTGGAACAGGATCCACTCAGCCTCATGAGGATAATTGAGGAGCTATATCAAGGAAAAAGTGGCTCCTGTATAGAAAACCGAAATTAACAGCCATGGGGAACCATTTGCTGACCACAGGACACCCTCTGTCCGCAAAAGTTGGCACTAACTTTGCCAACCAGCATTGGTCGCTTGGTCGGTATAGTTTGCTTGTGAACTACTGGCCACTGTGTTTGTTCGTAAAAACAACACAGCACACCACGAACAAACACAGGACGATATCAAAGAACCTCATTGTCAAGAAAGACAGGCAGCACATCAAGAGAGGGGATGAGAGAAGGGACACGAACCTATTTGGTTTATAAATTTTAACTTAAATAACAAAAATTTTAGAAAACTTTAATATACCAAGACAACCTGGTACTCATTTCTGTTAGAGGCTGAGTGAACCCCAGGGCCTAGTGCGGCTGGAAGGATTAGATCAGCTGAAAAAATCCAATAACCTCATCGGGACTTGAACCCGCGACATTCTGGCTTGTAGCATAGCCCTGCGGCCGGCACGTAAGGCTGACAACCTTACCACCATCTTTGAGCTGATTGTCTAGATAATGTGGGAGCCTCAACGTCTCACAACCCTATGGACCTTCATGGCCTGGTAGAGGAATAGCTTTACTTTAGACCAAGACAATTGCTGTAGTTGTGAAAACTTTGGATTTTGTATATATTGTGCATTGCAAACATTGTATGTGTATATATTTTAACATTCAGAACACCCATTGTAATAGTGGTTTCCAAAGAATATCTGTGTCCTTCTATTGATGGTCCATAGGGACCAAAATATGGAAGGGTGTTAAGAATTGAAGCAGTAAAATCTTCAACAGTCAAACTGGACGGAGTTGTTTTATCTTTTATAATGTATGTATTAACTCAGTTTTTATACTGGTCTTTGGGGTAGTTTCTCCCGGAAACTTCCTCTGGCCTTTCCCCTTTTGGTGACATCAATCAGGCTCAAGGACATTCTGTGGATCTTGTCCTAATTGTACATTGGTCTTTCTCTTGGACTTTTACCAATGTATGGTGGTATGTTTTCAAAAACAAGCATGTTCTACTTTAGTCTTTGCCCTCAGGCTACAGAACAAGATAACTTTAGAAACTTTACAAACAACATCTGTGAAAGTCCAGTGTTCTACTTTAGTCTTTGCCCTTGGGCTACAGGACAAGATAACTTTAGAAACTTTACAAATAACATCCGTGAAAGTCCAAGTTACAAAATTTCCTTGTGGTACAGTCCTTGTCACAGGTTCGATATTTTATTCATAAATCATCATAGTTGCTTATTCCACATCACCAGGTTACTATTAGCATATACAAGGTGGTTCAATATGACGGGGACTGATTTGTGTGTAAACAAGCTGCACTGCACAGCAGCTGTGCGACCTTGAGAGAGTGAAGCCACAACCTCCACCCTCCCTCCTGTTTGGGTTAGAACCTGTTCAGTCCTGTCTGGGATTTACTAGAGTGATGAGTGAACAGAAGGTACTGCGGAGCGCGGAACAACACATTGTGATCAAATTCCTCAGAGAAAATGTCCCGTCCGCTGAAATTCACCACAGACTCCAACAACAGTATGGGGAAGATTGTCTCTCACAGACCCATATGTTTGAGGGGTGTAAGTGCTTCAGAGAGGGCAGAGAGTATGTGGCGAATGAACCGCATGATCGTCGGCTGCGAACATCCGTCACCGAGCCAAACATTGATCGTGCAGATGCACTTATTCGTGAGAATAGGCGCATCACTATCAAGGAACTTGGAGCAATGCTGTCCATCAGTGTTGGTAGTGTAGAAGACATCGTGAAATACCACCTGTACTATTGCAAGGTGAATGCACGGTGGGTACCACACACTTTGACGGACGTGAACAAAATGGTGCACATGCAGTTTGAAGATGAAGGTGATGCATTTTTGAAGTCTGTAGTGACCACTGATGAAATGTGGATGCACTACTTCATTTCCAAGTCCCAGCAGTCATCACGCGAGTGGTGGCATACCAGTTCTCCCAAACGCAAGAGAGCGCGGATGAGCCGTTCAGCAGGAAAAGTGATGGCAACGTTCTTCTGGGACTGGCAGGGGGTTATCCATGTAGACTTTCTGACATGCCAGAACAGTCAATGCAGCTTATTACTCAGACCTCCTGGCAACAGACGTGAAGAAAAAGTTCTGATCCAAGCGGATGACAGGTGGAAAGAGGGTAGCCTTCCTTCAAAACAATGCATGCCCCCATATGGCCAAAACAACAATGGGAACCCTCCGGAAATTGAAATGGAACCTTCTGACACATCCGCCGTACAGTCCCGATTTGGCCCCAAGTGATTTCTACCTGTTTGGAAGGCTCAAATCAGACTTGCAAGGCATGCGGTTTGTGGATGACAATGCCATCATCCAGACTGTTCGGGAGTGGATACGC